AGAGAGAGAGAGAGTGTTGTATTGAGACCAGTGGCTAACATATTTCATTTTTGTGTTGTCCAGATAAACTTGAAGGGTCTGGATGGCATTCAGGGTCCAGTGTATGTGGGAACTGGGTGTTGCTTCAACAGGCAAGCTTTGTATGGGTATGACCCAGTCCTGACTGAGGCTGATTTAGAGCCCAACATCGTCTTCAAAAGCTGTTGTGGTCCAAGAAAGAGGGGAAAGAACAAAAAGTACATTGACAAAAAGCGAGCAATTGCGCGCACTGAATCCACTATTCCCATCTTCAACATGGATGACATGGAGGAAGCTGTAGAAGGTATAGGGTCTTTTAGTTAAGCAAAATATCCATTACTTTTATACAAAGGAAAAAGTTTTTATAACATTTAAAAAAAAAAAAGGAAAAAGTTTTTACAAGGTATCAATTTTATACTACAGAAAAAAAACAAGGAAAAGGTTGTTTTGACATCGGAAAACCATCTAATCTATCATTTCGACCTTGAGATGCATGGAGATGGGGAAAAAAAGAAAGGATTTCAAGTGTTGGAAATAGTGCATGTTGTAGCACATTATCTGGATTGCCATTTTCATGATTCTCAAGTCTTTGTAGATCTGCTTGATCTGAGCAATGTTGGCATCTTCAAATTTTATAATTAGGGGTGAAAATAGATTTCCTGACTTTTACGAGGGTTTTTGGCACCAAAACAACATCTTTCGGCAAGGTTTGGAGGTGAACCTTACTTTGATGGTTTAAGGTTGGAGCCTTATATAAACCACAACCTTTATAAAATGACATAATTCTCTTCTTCTATTTAAAAATGACCAAATTGATTCCCACTGAACTGGGTTACTTGGAGTATTGAATTCTTGTAAGTCTTGGAAATGTTTGTACGTATGATGATCTAGTATTGTGTCCTTGTTTTCTTTGATGGTTTATAAAATCTGGACATAACAAAAGCAGCTTTACATTCGTAGTTTTGTATAAACAAAGATTGTCACCTGACTATGATAAATATTTGTCAAGAAAACGAAAATGACAATTCAACAACATTTTGTTATTAATAAATTGTCATTTTATTACAAAGAATAAAATGTCATTGTGCCAATGAATAATTTATGGCTACTATCTAGAATTGAATTTGGTGTTCATTTGTCAATGATCTCACATCTGGCTACATTTGGTGATTCGAATATGTGGCTGCTTTGATTAAAGCATTTTCAACTATTTTTAGTTATTCTACTCTTCCAAATATTAATCGAGTTTCCGCAACCATTTCATCAAAGTGATCTTATGTTTAACCTCAGAAGTTACATTTGTTGCAGGCTATGAGGATGAGAAGTCCCTCCTTATGTCTCAGAAGAGCTTAGAGAAGAGGTTTGGCCAGTCCCCTGTTTTCATCGCATCCACCTTTATGGAACAAGGTGGCATTCCCCCATCTACAAATCCTGCATCACTCCTGAAAGAAGCCATCCATGTAATCAGCTGTGGTTATGAAGACAAAACTGAATGGGGAAAAGAGGTATTTCTTCTGCAGTTTAGCCACAAACAGTCGATCTCTCTCTCTCTCTCTCTCTATCTCTCTCTCTCTCTCTCTTGGACAACTAAATTGAATACTTATTTATGGATTTCATCTAGATTGGGTGGATTTATGGATCGGTCACAGAAGATATCTTGACTGGATTTAAGATGCATGCGAGAGGATGGATTTCCATCTATTGCATGCCCCCAAGACCAGCATTCAAAGGGTCTGCACCTATCAATCTTTCTGATCGTCTGAACCAAGTGCTTCGATGGGCTTTGGGTTCAGTTGAGATTCTTCTCAGTAGGCATTGCCCCATATGGTATGGCTACAGTGGCCGGCTGAAGGTTTTGGAGAGACTGGCTTATATCAATACCATTGTTTACCCACTCACCTCATTGCCCCTTGTTGCATACTGTGTTCTCCCTGCTGTTTGTCTACTTACTGGGAAATTCATCATTCCTGCGGTTTGTACTCTCTATCTCACCTTTTATTAAAGCTTTACTTGTACCTCTCTTTATCTCACTTTGCGTTGAACCTTTGACTTTTCTTCTTGTTGATACACGTGTGCTTATGCTTCCGCGCACACACACAGATGCATGAGAGAACAAGCTATTTCTTCTTGGGGCTAAATCAAAATAAAAAATTGACTCTCCTGGTTTGCAGATAAGCAACTATGCTAGCATGTGGTTCATCCTTCTCTTTATCTCCATTTTTTCCACCGGTATCTTGGAGCTTCGATGGAGTGGAGTAGGTATCGAGGATTGGTGGAGAAATGAGCAATTTTGGGTTATTGGTGGTACCTCTGCCCATCTCTTTGCTGTCTTTCAAGGCCTTCTTAAAGTTCTTGCTGGTATAGATACCAACTTCACGGTTACATCAAAGGCCTCAGATGAGGATGGAGACTTTGCTGAGCTTTACGTTTTCAAATGGACCGCTCTTCTCATCCCTCCCACAACTGTGCTTCTTATAAACATGGTGGGAATAGTAGCTGGTGTTTCTTATGCTATAAACAGTGGATACCAATCTTGGGGTCCCCTGTTTGGTAAGCTCTTTTTTGCTCTTTGGGTTATTGTTCATCTCTACCCTTTCCTCAAGGGTTTGTTGGGTCGCCAAAACCGAACACCCACCATTGTTATTGTGTGGTCGATTCTCTTGGCTTCCATCTTCTCGTTGCTTTGGGTAAGGATTGATCCCTTCACTTCCAGAACCAGTACTGCTCAAGGTCAGTGTGGGATCAACTGCTAGTGCCCATCGCATTTTGCTTCTGGATGTTGGAGTCTCTCTCACTTCTCCCTTGCCTTGTTGAATCAATAGGTAATTCCAACTTATCCGTTTTCTCTCGCTCTCTCTCTCTCTGTAAATAACAGCGAAAGTGCAGTCAAGGCTTATGCTATTGTATTTATCAGTCGGGGTTGACAAAGTGGTTTGTTTTTTGCATTGTGGAATCAGGACATTTTGAGGTTCTCTTTTGTCATGCTTCTTTATTTATTTCCCTGCATGGGTCTTGAACCAGGCATTGGGTTCTCCAGCAAGTCTTGTGTCGTTGTCATATTCGTCAGAGATACTTTGTTTGGGACCTTATTAATGGTTTTCTTGTATCTTTATGTTTTTGGAACTTTGAAGAATACCAGGAGAATTTAGTAGAGCATAAATGATGTAGTATAAAGCGTGTATTATTGAATCAGCATTTTGTGAATGAATGTAGTTTTTGATGAGTGAAAAATCATTTATCATTTCCAAATAGTGCTAGAGGACTAACCTTGCATACTGTGTCATGTATAATACCCATTACTCCCCTAATTGCAAAGTTAAAAGTTTATACTAGGTTAACTTAATTTCTAGAAGTAAGGATGCATTAATTCATATCAAATTGGATGGCTTGGGATGAGTTATGAAGTTTGAGAATTTTTTTTTTTTTGGAATTGTGTTTATTCAATAACATTCTTACAACCATTCATTTTGAAATTTAGGAGTAATGATTTTGACTTCTATGTACAAAAGATAATAGGGAAAAGTTTATATAGAGTCGAGGCTCTAAATACTCAAATTTGAGCCAACTTAAAACATTGCATTAGAAGAGGTTGTTTTGGTGTCGAAATATCTTCAAATTGATATATCGAGATGCATGGACATGAGAAAAAATGGATCTTAAGTTTTGGAAATAGTGTATTTTGTGATGTATTTTTGGATAGTCAATTTTTAAGATTTTCAAGTTTTCATAGATATATTGATATACACTATTTTTTTATCTTTAAATTTTATAGATAATATGGAAATGTATTTGAAGGCTATCATAAAGATTTTCAATATTGAAACCATATTTTTCATCATTATTCGAAGGTAGGCTCTAACTTGATTGCACCCAAAGATAAAGTCCGCACCCAAAGATAAATGGTCTTTTTGTAGGCAAGCGTATGCACTTTAGATGAATGGTATTGTTTCGATGTCTTAAAAGACGTGCTACTTTTAAACATTGATATGTGCAATTTAGAAAACTAAAATGGACGGTGTGACTTTTCAACCTTATACAAATAATGCAATACCTTGTGGTATTGCATAAATACACGAACAGCAAATATCTAGAGGGACAATTACCATCGTAGGTGCCCTATACGAGAGTGCATGTTATGCTCCCGCAGGATCATAGTGTAAATTTACTTCTTTGAGTCAGTAGAGGCATTGAAGAGGATTTTGTTGTTTTTTCAACTTTAAAATTTTGAGATCCACTAGAGCATCACCAGATAATTAATTTTTACCAAGAGAAAAAACTGAAATGAGTTTAAAGCACTTGGATCTATCCATCAAAAAATGGAATAGTCCTTCAATATTTTTACTTTAATTTGTTTAGGTACCCATAGAATTTGAGTGCTGTTTTGTCTTTTTGAAAATTGATCACTAGGGTAAGGAGGTTGCATCTAACAAATTTGGAGTCCCATAAACACTAGTTTGGATCTTACCTAAGGGAGCAAATGGATAGTATGCTCCAATAGGACTAGGGAATCTTCTCAATATTCCTGTTATTGTGTTAGATATTAAGTGAGAAGATGCCTCCTCTTATTCTTGCTAAAAGTGTCTTTTAGGATATTATCTATACCATATTAAGCCACAATTCGGTGGACAGTTATCACAAGAATAATATTGAACCCTATTGCTAGAGAGAATTTAGGTAGGTGACGAAGAATATAGGGTACGTGACTTTCAAGGAAGAACATCTTAAGAGTGTATGTAGGTCACATATGCTATCTATGGACATATCTTAGCTATGCAGAGAGAGATAGAGAGCTTCTAAAATAAATGTGCATATGTTAAGGACAAAAAAGTTCAGTGAGGGATACGAAGAAAAATTAAAGAATGAGAAGAGAAAGTTAAATAGAAAATATCTCCATAAACCTTTTTTTAAGGTTTCATTTCTCAGTACACCTAGGGTATGAAAACATATATGGTCGCATAGAGATCCCACATAGTATGTCTTCTAACCCTTAGATCAACTTTATCCCTTTTGATCCCACCCTTTTAGCTAAAACAAAAGTACAAACGAAATCCTTTTCTATTCCTTTCTAAAAAATTATATGAGAGAGAGAGTCAAAAGAAGACCCTAGACCATGTCAGCATGTCTCCAGGAAAATCTAGAGCCTGAAATTGATAACAATGTGATATGCCTCGTTCGGGCCATTGGATTGAGCTACATTACCCATGTCATTGAACCAAATGTAGCTCCAGATGATTCTGGAGACTATGTAGATGCTCCAAAAATGTGTCAGCGATAATGATTGGAAATATTTAAATGAGCAATAGACTCCAAATTATTAACCAGATAACAACACATTCGGGGCCAAATTCGCCCCCGCATTCCATATCATAGAAACACAGGTGGTTTGGCCTCATCCTTGTCGTTTCGATGGCTTAGTAGAGGTTTGGCCCAAGGACACTCTCTCGTAAAAGCACGGGGACTGTGCATGTATGTCGCGTGTGCACCTGTCCGTGTGCAGATACGTGTCAACGGAGTGAGAGAGATTTTAGTGGCGAGGGATTTAGGCACCTACCTTGCTCGGTGGGTTCAGGGATGCGTCCAGGCTTGGCTAGCCCTCTTAGATCACTTAGGAAAGCCCCCCCGGCATTCTTGGTACGGTTTGGAGTTCTCTCCTTTTTCACAACACACGACACCTGTCTGTCTTCACACCTTCATCTTTATGAATTTGGGGTTGAGAGCCCCTTTGGTTTCGTCCCTTTTGCCAGTGTAGGTGATAGGCTTAGGCAGGCTAAGCTCGGGCTTTAGATGGGGATAGAAACGAATAGATGAGGGAAAGAAATAAGAGAAATGGGGAGCAAGAGGAAGAAGACAAAGAAAACTACCCAAGGATCCTGCTGCCTTATAGCATTGCCTCCTCTAGGGGGTATGGCGAAAAGGAACGAATTTCTTGGGCACTCGAGAGCCCCAATGTTGATCTAGTACACAGACCTCCTTATGGGTAGAAATAAAAAAGGAAGAGAAGAGTGGGATGAAAAAAGAGGAGAAGAGAACCACTGTCGTGATCCCGTACCCTTTTACCCTCCAGCATGTATGGTAGGGGTCGTGACAACCACCCTAAAATTTGCAACCTTATGTCCTCACCTCCCCCAGAACTTATTCCGATTATCTAAGGAAAGGTATTAGGCCGAAACCTAATACCCCGGAGGTACGACGAAAAGGAACGAACTTCTTGGGCACTTGAGATCTCCAAGGTTGACCTAGTGCACGTACCTCCTTAAAGAATAGAGACGGAAAATAGATGAAGAGGAGAAGAAGAAAGGAGAGGAGAAATAAAAAGAGAAGGGGAGAGGAGAAAAAGAAAGAAGAGGTGGGAGGTAAAAGGGAAAAGGTGAGAATGAGTAAGGAGAGAGATGCAAAGAGATAACAGAGAATAAAAGAGAGGGAAATGAGAGAGTATGAGATTGAGATAAAGAGAGAATAGAAGAGAGGGAAAATGAGAGAGTATGAGAGAGAGAGTATGAGAGGGAGAGGTGGGCGGCCTAGCTGCCTACGTGAGGGAAGAGAGAGAGAGGAGGGGGGGAGAGGGGAAAGCTGGGCAGCCCAGCTGACTGGCTTTGAAGGGAGAGAGAAAGGAAAGAAGAGAAAGAGAAAGAGAGAGAGGGAAGTGGGTGGCCTAGTTCCCTACCTCTCGAGCAAAGGGGGGAGAGAGAAAGAAAGGGAGAGAGAGAGAGGGAGAGAGAAAAAGAGGGGAAGAGAGAGCGAGGTGGGTGGCCCAGTCACATGCCTCTCTAGTAGAGGGAGGAGAGAGAGAGAGGGAGAGAAGGGATGAGAACGAGAGAGAAAAAAGAAGATGGTAAAGAAGGAGATAGGAGGAGAGAGAAAATGACCGAGTACTTAGTGGCAAACCGACAGCTTGAGCTCAGATGTTAGGTGCGGTCCCGATGTGCTTTGAGTCCTTCTTGAGAATGGCTAGGGTCTTGGTGGAAGAGGTATATAGTTTGGATGGTATGGACCTAGGTGAACTATGGTGTATGGAACTTTGAATAGGTAGGTCTTTAATAGTCTATGGGGTATGGTAAGATTAGGTAGGAACTATGGTATAGGATCTAGGATTGTTGATATGATAGGATTGGGTAGGAACTATGGTCTAGGGTTTAGGAATGGTAGTCTATGGAGTATGGTAGGATTGGGTAGGGATTACGGTGTAGGGTTTAGGGTTGTTGGTCTATTGAGTATAGTAGGGTTGGGTCGAGACTATGGTCTAGGGTTTAGGATTGGTAGTCAAAGAGTAGCTCTCAAGCGTAAAAATATTCTCTCCTCTCTTTGAAGTGAAAAGTGAAGGCACACACAAGAAAATGATTAATTTTTCAAGTTCTTGCACCTTTCTTTTTAATGCCTTACTACTTAGGCTTACAAATGCAGAAAAAGAACTTATATAAAGTCATCATCAAACAAGACTGGATGCTCAATACTATGACTAATTGCTAAACAATATATTAAAAACAATTAAAAAGTGATTTTTTTTATCAAATGATCATTATGCCCCTACATACTTTTGTAGAAATGACAAGACCATCCCTTAAAGGGGCATCTTGCCTTTTCTATGGTTCGAGCCTATTTTCGACACTTTGCGGCGATATTCTGGATGATCCAACATCTTAGAAATGTTGGTCTTCTCGAGACAATTGATTTAATATGTATTTTTGTGGCTTCATTTGATAATGAACCCAAAATCCGGCCAAACCCATAAACTTGCAATCTTTGATCTTTAATATTGCCCGTTTCGCCGCATTCTCGATTATGTTTCTTATCACAAATCGAATGGGAAGTTGTTGCAATCGTTTTGCAAGGAAAACCCCTCGATTTGGAGTCCATTTGATCAATTTTTTATTTTTGAAGGTCACCAAAAAATGGAATTCAGGTGACCGAAAGTTATACCTTCTTTTGAGATTAACAGGATGCCTTCTTAGCCTCCATTTCTAGCTAATTAAGTACTCAAAATGAAACCCTTTGAGCTTTCTACAATTAGTGCAGTTTTAGTGAACTTCTCTCTAATATTTCTCCTTATGCGAGAGTCCCCATCGCACGTGCCACTCCCCAAATCGTAGATTTTGGTGAGAGGAACAACATACTCGAATTTGAGGTCAATCCACTTCAAAACGAGAGGAAAACATACTGCACAAATTGCCTTGTTTTTTGAAAACACAGTTACTATGAAATAGTAACTGGTTCAGAGGGGTTCAA